GAGAGAGAGAGAGAGAGAGAGAGAGAGAGAGAGAGAGAGAGAGAGAGAGAGAGAGAGAGAGAGAGAGAGAGAGAGCAACAGATACAGAGACAGAGACAGAGACAGACACAGACACAGACACAGACACAGAGTGCAGGTTGCAGGAAATTACAGCCAGCAACCCATCAGGCGGTACAATAAGATGGATGAGATGGCGATACGATCATGCGAGATGAGTGACAACGTAAGCCCCATAAATCTTGCAGGTTGCACAATACGGATCCATAACGAAGCCCACGTGCAATATCATCATCAGACAAATGGAGACTGACAATATGGACACAGAATGAACCTCATCCCAGGAAGATAGGGCAAACCAAGTATATCAAGTCAGGTGAAGAAAGCCATAGCGTCAACCAAAAAAAATCAGATGGTCTGAGACAACCGATCATATTCAAGAACATTTACAGGATCATTAATGCCAAGAGTGAAAAGGATTAAAAACAAAAAAAGAAGAAGGGATTGAACAGAGTGAGGCTGCACAAGAAGTGGCACAAAGACATCTGGCAGGAAATATCAAACCCAGAATAGAGGAACAGCTACTGGCATCCTCGAACCGACATGCAAGATCCATTGACTAGAAATGAGAAGACATATGTTGCAGCCTACTTCCAGTAGTAGCCGCATTCCTTCACCTCCCCCTTCTCTATCACTCCTCCTCTTTCTGAGGGCACAGCTGTTGTCGCTCCCACCCCTCCTCCTCCTCCTCCTCCTCTTCTTCCTCCTTCACGTTCTGCTACTCTTATATTATTGCCGTGCACAACGAGTCCCCCTCCGTTGAACGACCTGCATTCACACAATGTTTTTGCGCATCCTTCGGTAAACTCACCGCGGGGAATCGCGTGTCCAGCTTCTTCTTCATGTTTGCCAATACAGACAAGCTCCTCCGTGACCAGTCCACAGCTTGCACTTTGTAACTGTCATCACAAAACATAAATTTAAATATAAAAAAAAACATACAGGGTGAGGAGGACCACAGCACACTGCACAACTCACTCCATATATCAATCGTTCTTCAATTGCTCTCCACGAGGCACCACACTACATGGATCTCTCTCTCTCTCTCTCTCTCTCTCTCTCTCTCTCTCTCTCTCTCTCTCTCTCTCTCCACGGCCGCCATTGACAAACACCACCACTGTTACAAACACCCAGAAACAATCAGTTAATCACACCGAGGAAGATAACCTGGCACGATACAGAGGACATGAGCATCATGCCCCCTGTCCAAGGATTAAACGAAAAAAGAAAAAAAAAAGATGACCTCGGGCACAAGCACCATAATAATAACCATCTCAAGTGCACTCAGAAATAATTAATTAACAATTTAACATTAATCTATCCAATACAGAGTTCCGAAAACAAGATAAGCAAACATCTACAACCCAACCAGCCAACAAAAAAACACTACCGCCGAGCCGGAAGCACATCTGTTATATTTTCATTCATTGAAGATGTCACACAAAGAAACCTTCAATGTCACTCATCTGTTCCATTTGGTACACTCCCCAATGGAAATTAGCAGAGACCGGCAAAACTCATGGAGGCAGTGACGATCCCAATGCTGGGCATAGTTGGAAAGGAAAACGCCTAAGCGTGCACTATGAACCTTGGCAGGCTATCGCGCCACACAGGTGAAAAGATGAAAGGTGAAAAGAGACAGACGACTGACTCGACGCACACAACCGCACTCTGCAAGGTGACGCATGTGTGGAAAGCAATCTTGAAAAAAACTCCGAAGAGATAGATAGATCAAACCAGCACAGAATACTGAATAGATAGATCAGACCAGCGCAGAGAGTTCGGCCATAGCACAGCTATAGCTACCGCCACCGCTCTTCAATAGTAGAGAAGCGGTGTAGCATGCTGAGGCCTCTACACGGGCCCTGTTTTGGGGCTGGTCGGTTGTTCCAGGCCCCCAGGCCGCGCACCCATTCTTGGTGAGCGACCCGGAGGCCCACGGCCATTTCCCAGGCCAGGCACCCACTTGGCTCCACGTGTGCCCTCTGAAAGGCATTCCACGATGCGGACCTAAAATTTGAATATCAGGGTCAACATTCCCAGGCCGAGTGGGGCCAGGTCCGCAAGTTTCGGAAAGGTTACATGGGGTACCCCAGAGGTCAAGCCCGACAGGTACCCGATCAACAGTCACATCCAAGAGGCAAAAGTCACATCCCATAACCAAAAGTTGCGTCCCATGGTCAAAGGTCGTGTTTCACAGGCAAACGTCACGTTCCACAGACCCAAAAACAGCAGCACACCAAGGAAAACCCAGGGAGGTACCGGGCCTCAACATTCTGAAGCAAACAGCCAGCACGCAGCTGGTACCAGGCCCATGTCAGGCCAAGAGAAGCAGAGGCTGGGACGAGTCAAGGCTCAGTCCAAGTCAATATGAGGACTGGCCAGCCACATTTCGGACAGATCGCTCATTCGCAAGAAGTGTGGAAGTGCTGCTGACGCGCTTGTGCGCTATCTGTGAGTGGTTAGTGCTGGAGCCCTGCTGGGCAGCGCTGGTTAGCAATAGCCACATAGCTACTAGTAGGAGATAGAGCTGAGTAGTGGCGGATGTATTCAGAGTCAAGGTCTTCGAGTAGAGAGAGAGAGAGAGGAGTGGGGAGAGAGTGAGCGCATGCATGAAGGGGAGAGAGAGAGAGAGAGAGAGAAGTGAGACAGGCGGCAGAGACAGCGGAGAGTCACCTACCTTGGATGAGGATGCTGGATATGGGTTGCTGAACTCTGTGTTAATACATCAGAGTCAAGGTCTTCAAGTAGAGAGAGTTTTACATGCCCACATGGGCGATGTATATAATAACCGAGGATCCGCAATGTGATAAAAAGGACTGAATAGACAATGCAGTGCGAGTAGATCTCACCAAGCAATGTGCATTCCGATACATACAAAATGGTGCTGAATAGCGCAGCGAATATTTAGATACAAGACCTGACCTGACCAAGACTCACCTTTATCACATAGTGCAAGATAAGCGAAGCAGAATGCTAGAATACTGATGACTAACCCAATCAATGTTTCATCGTAGACCAAACATACATCATGCTCATCACAAGGTGTGAAGGAGCCTGGCGCTGTACACAGGAAGGAAGCGCCAGGTCCAGACATACACAGACGAAGAGGAGGGAATCAGACGAAGAGGAGAGGGAGAGATGGGAATGTCGTCAACACCAAGTCTTTGTCACAAGTCCCAAATAATCCCTCGATTCAATGTCTGAAGTCCAAAAGTCGAGTCTGGATCCAATGTCACCAAGCTCTTTCTCTCTTCTCTCGTAGTCTGCAGATGCAGTGAAGTCAGATGATGAGAGGGGGAGAGGGAGATGGTGGACTGAGAAGAGGAAGAAGAAGAACTCTCTCTCTCTGTTACGAGCCAGGTACTAACCTGTGAAGTTGGCGTTGTGCTGCAGGTACCTTGAAGACGAAGCTGGAGCAACGATGCTGCAGGTAAGTACCTCTGGCCTCCGCCCAACCTCTCTCTCTCTCTAGTGCTATCCTAGCTATGGCGCCCAGCGCTGGAGACTACAGCTACGTACTGCGCCCAGCGCTGAAGACTAAGGCTAACGCTACTACTACTCCTGCAGCGCTCCCTCCAGAGTACTGCTGCCGAATCCTGAAGACTACTGCCTCCTGCCTGAACTGCACGTGAAGTGCCTGGCCAGTCCTTATGAACTACCTGCCTGCCTGTAGGGCGGGCCAGTCTTATATAGTGCTGGCCCGTCCAGGAGGCTGCCCTTGCCAATGCCCAAACGTGCTAGACCCTGAGGAAACTTCCGGAAGTTTCCAGGTAGCTTCTGGCTAAAGCCCGAGGAAGCTTCCAGGAAGTTTCCGGAAGTGAGACAGGCGGCAGAGACAGTGGAGAGTCACCTACCTTGGATGAGGATGCTGGATATGGGTTGCTGGACTCTGTGTTAACGAGCGCTGGTGACTGGAACTCTGAGACTGTTTAATATGATAATTTCTTGGAATTCCTAAGCTGCGCTTATCTGGACTTCGCATCTCTGGTCTCCAAGTCTTGTGTGCATCATACTCAATCATTTTTTGGGGGGGGGCAGGTCAATCATTCGGGGAAGGGGGGTCATTCATTGCGCAGGGGGCGGGAGGGGGGCGGGGTCCCAATCCCAGCGGGTTCCGAGCATGTGCTGCTTCCCACGAAGCGATCAGACCTCCCAAATTATAAAACAAACGGAAAAGAAAATCAACGAAACCTCCTTTGAAAAAATAAAAAAAAAATAACGCGTGGAGGCCAGCCACACCTGCACTCCTCTCATCACCCACTCTTCCCATCACCCACTCCTCCCATCACAAAGAGACAGTTCATTCATTAGACCACCAATCCGTGGCCCCAGCCTTGTGAAGATTTAATTTCCTCGCCTACGAAAATTTGGGCCTCCACTTTTCCTGTTGGTAAATTTGTCGTTGTAGACCCTGATCGATCCGCAGCCAGACGGAACCGAACCTGTGACATCGGCTATTACAGCCAGACCCCTTTAAGGAAAGAAAAATAACGAGTGGAGGCCTCGACTCCTGCGCATAAGTTTGTCATTGTAGCCATGGTCGATCCACAGCCAGACCGAATCGAACCTGTGACATCGGCTATAACAGCCAGACGCCTTTAAGGAAAGAAAAATAACGAGTGGAGGCCAGGCATACCTCGACTCCCGCGCGTAAGGTTGTCGTTGTAGCCATGGTCAATCAGCAGACGGACGGAATCGAACCTGTGACCTCGGCTATAACAGCCAGACGCCTTTAAGGAAAGAAAAATAACGAGTGGAGGCCAGCCATACCTCGACTCCTGCGCGTAAGTTTGTTGTTGTAGACCCTGATCGATCCGCAGCCAGACGGAATCGAACCTGTGTCATCGGCTATAACAGCCAGATGCCTTTAAGGAAAGAAAAATAACGAGTGGAGGCCTACCTCGACTCCTGCGCGTAAGTTTGTCGTTGTAGACCCTGATCGACCCGCAGCCAGACGGAATCGAACCTGTGACATCGGCTATAACAGCCAGACGCCTTAAGGAAAGAAAAAKAACGAGTGGAGGCCAGCCATACCTCGACTCCTGCGCGTAAGTTTGTCGTCGTAGCCATGGTCGATCAGCAGACGGACGGAATCGAACCTGTGACCTCGGCTATAACAGCCAGACGCCTTTACCACTGCAACTGTGACCTGGTGTTTGGAACTGAAGCCATACCGGTCGTGACATTCCGCCCAACCCAGCACAGTTCACGACGACCCCAGCACAGTTGCAGCGAGGACTCGTCAATGCGCGACATCCAGATCCTCCACTTTTCCTGACCAACAATAAAACTCCCCCAAACACGACTGCTGACATTTCTTTCTTTCTTTCTTTCTGAAAAAGCATTTATTTATTTATTTATTTATTTATTTATTTATTTATTTATTTATTTATTTATTTATTTATTCATTTATTTATTTATTTCAAATTATTTGTTTATTTATTTACTTATTCTTTATTTTTTTCAAATCAAGAAACAGTTCCTTTATTTTTCTTTTCTTTTTTTCAAAAAAGGACCTCGAAGATTATTATCACCAAAAGAATACTACTGGGGCTCGGCCCACCGGATCTCTTTGGCTGGCGGTGCCAATCACATTAAAAAACAAATAAAAAACAAATTAAAAACAAATTAAAAAAAAAAAAAAAAAAAACTCCATGTCAAAGGGCGGGTGCGGAAAAGGGAGGTTGCCCCAGCAGTTCACACCTGTTTCTCTGATTCTCATTTGAGTTCTCTATTGCTTCATGACGAATTGCTTCCATCATCATCATCATCATCAATCATAATCAATCGCCACCCAATCATCAATCAATCAAGCATCAATCGATCATCATCCATCAATCATCAATTATTACTTATCATCATTCATAATCAATCATTAATCAATCATTAATCAAGCATAATCAATCAATTATCACTTAAAGTCAATCAATCAATCAAGCAAGCAAGCAACCAACCAATCAAGCCAGCAAGCAAGCATTCAAAGCATCAATCAATCAACCATCAGTCACAATTTCACAATGCCAATCACGAGTTCTTTTCCTCCCATTTCCCTCCTTCCTCTCTTCTTCATCCTCCTCCTCATCATCATCCTCCTCCTCTTCCTTATCCCCCCTCCTCCTCCCCCTCTTTCCTGTCTGACGTGACCGTCTTCCCCCCGAATAGAACGTCCGGTCATAGTAGCTGTTTGTATTTGGGGCAACTTGCAGTCTAGATGCAGACATTGCACGAAATACAAACAGTTATCATGACCGTAGGTTCTATTCGGGGGAAGACGGTGGGGAAAGAGGGCGGACACGTGTCGTAATAGCTGTATGTGTTTGGGGTAACTTGCAGTCTAGATACAGAGGGAGGGACGAGGAGGAGAGGGAGGGACGAGGAGAGAAGCAGAGAGGGGGTGTAAGAAGGATAGGATGAGACGACAGCAAGGAGGAGGAGAAGAGAGGAGGAGGAGAGAGGAGGAGGAGAGAGGAGGAGGAGGAGGGGGGGAGGTAAGGGGGAGGAGGGAAGGGCGAGGAGGAGAGGGAGGGACGAGGAGAGAAGCAGAAGGGGGGGAAGAAGGATAGGAGGGACGAGTCTCTGTTCTCGTTTGCCTGACACGTGTCCACCTTTTCCTACCATCTTCACCCCCGAATAGAACGCACGGTCATGAAAGATGAATGTATTTGGGGCAACTTGCAGTCTAGATACAGACAGCAGTAATAATCGCAGTACGTTCTATTCGGGAGTCTCTGTTCTCGTTCGCTCCACACGTGTCCACCTTCTTTTCCTGCCGTACGGTCATGATAGCTGTATGTATTTGGGCCAACCTGCAATCTAGATTCAGACAGCAATATAATCACATAACGTTCTATTGGGGTGAAGACGG